TCCTTTTGTTAAGTTGTATGAGTTCCCTATAAATGTTGGAGATTAAACCCTTATCGGTGATAACATTGGCAAATATATTCTCCCATGCAGTGGGCTTTCTTGTTGTTTTGTTGATGGTTTCTTTTGCTGTGCAGAAGCTTTTTATTTTGATGTAGTCTCATTTGTTTATTTTCTCTTTAGTTTCCAATGCCCTAGGAGCTGTATAGGTGAAGAAATTGCTTCGGCATATGTCTGAGATTTTGTTGTCTTTGGATTTCTCTAGTATTTTTATGGTTTCCCGTCTTACATTTAAGTCCTTTATCCATTTTGAGTTTATTTTTGTGTATGGTGTAAGTTGGTGGTCTAGTTAATAGATCCATTTTTAATTTATTTTTCTTTAAATTCACATGATCTACTTAAATACATATGTCTTTAATTTTATTTTAAAAATTAGGAAGTCCATCTCTGGCCATGATGGAATAATAAGGAGTCTTTACCCTCTTGTTATATAGACAGCTAGTAAACTGGACTAAAATATACAAACCATCTCTTTTTAGATATTATACCATAAGCAGAGTAGGAAGGACTCTGCTCCCTGAGAGAGAAATAAAAGAGATGAGCTTTGTAACTACCATGGCATCCTTCCCGCCTACCAGTTTTTATGGAATGATCTCAAAACACTCAATAACCATAGTATAACATTGATATTTTCCAGCATTTCTAGACATGCCAAGAAGTGGGACCATTGTAACCCATAATCAGGAGTAAAATCAGTCCAAAGAAACAGATTGGAAAATCACAGAAGTAATGGAGCTAGCAGACAGGATGTTAAAATAGCTATTATAACTAATAAATGTGTTTAAAGAAAAATATGAATCTAATGAGTAGACAAATGGAATATATAAAAAGAACCAAATGGAACTTCTAGGGATGAAAAATAAGTGTCTGAGATTTTTAAAAATAATTGAAAGTATTTAACAACATATTATACAATGCAGAAGACCAGACCAGTGAACTTGAAGATACAGCAGTAGCCTTTATCTTAAATTGAAGCTGAGAAAGAAAACTGAAAAC